AAGTTTACAATGAATATTGATCCATGCCTAGGGGCCAGGACATTTTAGCGATGCTCGTAGGATACGATCCAAGTACGGAGGTTCGGAGCAAGACACTAAATGGGGAGTTGAGTACCAACAAGGCAAGGTAGCTTATTGTTTCTCTTAGGTAAGAAACTAACCATTGCTATCAACCTTATGGATATATTTCGGGAATGTCGACTCAAATGAAAAGATGGAACGATCATTCAAGTTCAAAATTAAAAAAAGAGGGCTCACATTTGCCCACACCATCCATTTTAGGCGAGTTGCCAAGTTCAACCCATTGTTTAAGTAAAGTGGCCTAATGATAATTCTTCGGGTAGGGTTGCCTCACAATAAACCATTCTTTCGAGCAAAGTTGTCCATTAATCATTTTGATACTTAGGTAGGATCATCGGACTTAGCGTAATTTTCAAGCAGGGTTGCCTCACTTAGTTCATCATTTAGGCAAGTTTGTCTAATGATTTCTCATTTTCAAGGAAAGTTGCTCGATTTAGTTCATTATCCTAGACAAGGTTGTTTAATGATCACTCTCTTTTTTAGGCAGAGCTACCTAATTTAATTCATTGCTTAAGCGAGGTTACCTTACGATCTTTTCATTTGTTGTCTATTCAATTTATCATTCGAGCAATGTTGCCTAATGATTTTCTTATTTTTCGAGCAAGGTTGTCAAATTTATTTTATCGCTTAGATAGGGTTATCTAATGCTTATTTTCGAGCGGGGTTGCCTTATTTTATCGCTTAGGTAGGATTACCTAATGTTCATTTTCGAGTAGGGTTGCCTATTTAATCAATTGTTTAGGTAGGGTTACCTAACGATTATTTTCCAAACAAGGTTGCTTAATTTTAGTTCATCATTTAGGTAAGGTCGCCTAATGATCTTCTCATTTTTCAAGCAGAGTTGTCTATTTAGTCAATCATGTAGGTAGGGTTACCTAACGATCTTTTTCAAGCAAGGTTGCCTATTTAGTTCATCATTTAGGTATGGTTACCTAATGATCATCTCATTTTTTATATAGGGTTGTCTATTTAATCAATCGTTTAGCTAGGATTACCTAATGATCTATTTCCGGTAAGGTTACCTATTTAGTTTATCATTTAAGTAAGGTTGCCTAATGATTATCTCATTTTTTAGGGAGGGTTGCCTATGTAATCAATCATTTAGGTAGGGTTACCTAATGATCTTTTCTTTTTAGGCGGTATTACCTAAGGATCTTCTCATTTTTTAGGCGGAATTGCCTATTTAGTCAATCATTTAGGTATGGTTACCTAACGATCTTCTCATTTTTTAGGCAGAGTTGCCTATTTAGTCAATCATTTAGGTATGGTTACCTAACGGTCTTTTTCGAGCGGGATTGCCTAATTCTAGTTCATCATTTAGGCGGGGTTGCCTAAGGATCTTCATAATTTTAGGCGAGTTGCCTAGCGATCAATGCATATTTAATATTTCAAGGTTAGTCGCCCTCCAAGTTAGTCGTATACTACATATTTAACTTTTTAGGGCTGGTCGCCCTCCAAGTTGGCCACATATCGCATATTTGATTTTTCAAATTGGTCTGCCCTCCAAGTTGGTCGTTTAATGCATATTTAATTTTCGGGATCGGTCGTCCTTCAAGTTGGTTGTGTAATGTATATTTACTTTTTTTAGGGTTGGTCGCCCTCCAAGTTGATCGTGTATTGCATGTTTAATTTTTTAGAATATCGCATAGTTAAGTCTCTTGTATTGTACGTTTAATTTTTAGAACGTATCGCCGTTTGATAACAAAGCCACATGTCACATGTTTAATTTTCGGGATTGGTCGCCCTTAATTACAAGGTCATTGCACTCGTTTTCATAAGTTATTGCATTCCCGTAGAAATTCCATCATTAACTCGAATCATTTTAGTAAATTTTAATTTATTTTTCTCATATTTTCTTCTTTGCAAGCTCACAAACTCAACCTAAATTTCACATATCAATTAACGTTTGCATCGTAAGCATTGTAAAGAGGGAGTAACTCGTCATAACCAAAAATTCGGACTTTTATTTTTTAGTTAGTTACTTGTTTTCTTTTATTTCATTTTATTTTTTTAATTTTCTTATCTTAATCGGTGTTTTTATTTTTATTTATTTCATTTTACTTAGTAATTTACAAAAAGAAAAAAGTGTAAAAAATAATTTGAATTTAATATTTAGGGATGTCATTGCATTAAATTCAAAATAATTATAATCATTGGGGATACAATTGAATCATTCAAAGTTCAACGGTCGGATTACATTGCATAAGGACCAAGTTGACTTAATAATGATTTACATGGACTAAAATTACAAAATTTATAAAAAATCAAAAGAAAGAAAAACATTACGGAGGAGTGGGCGACTAGTTGCCCACTCTTGCCTGAATTTGTTTTTAGGACTTTTGGTAATCCTACTTCTCTTGGATCCAATTTTAGTTTCGATTCATCGTAATGTTGTTTCATTGGGAATCAATTTGGTTCCTAGTTTCAGCAACTTGCAACCCACAATCCCTCAACTTGCGACCTATAATCTCCCCTCCATGGTCAACAATATCGGCAGTACCCCTCACCTACTACAACTCCTGCAGCGAAGCACTCTATCCCACAAACTCCGATCAATAATATCGAACCCCCACCTGCCATCCTCCCTTACAGCTCACAACCTCCACCGATTGCTTCCCCTACGACCACCCGTACAGCTAGGAGCCACCATTTCCACGACCCACAACCATAGCCTCATCCACCCTCACACCACTCGACAATCTTGCAAAAAATCTCACACCATTATGGTGGAGAACTAAGCACATGTGTGTATATGTATATACACACACATATACGATCCTATCCACCCTCACACCACTTGACAATCTTGCAAAAAATCTCACACTATTATGGTGGAGAACCAAGCGCGTGCACACACACACACATAATATATATATATATATATATATATAAGCAAACACACAAAAAAGGCAGGGAGTCCAAAAATTAAGAGTTAAAAATTGAAAGAAAAAAACCAAAGAAAGCTAAACCGATAGTAGCAAAAAAAAATCCAAAAATAAAAGAGAAGATTTTTTTTACCTAATTGTTGAAGCGACGAAGACTTTTCCATCCATCATCCTCAACCCGAATCCATCGAGGTAGTCCACCCTTTTCAATGAAATTCGACGGTTCGATTTTTTTGAAATTTTAGGAATTTTTAATTTTGATTTGAAATTGAGGTTAGAGAATTAAAAGAAGGGCTAATTAAAGTTAGGTTGGGTTTTAATTTGGGGTTCAAACCCCAAATTGAAGCCGAATTGGCTTCAATCAAAACCTAGGGTTCTTGAGTATTGTTTAGAAAAAATTGATTTGGAGATTTTTAAAATTTCTATTCGTAAAGGGTTTGAATTGACTTGATTCAAGTCAATTAGACTAATTGCACAAGAAATTGAAGAAAAATGAAAATCTAGTGGTTCGACCAAATTAGGAATTTTTTAAGAAAAAAATCGATTTTGGGTTTTTCGATCTAGAAAGGAATTAAGACGTTTAGGAAGGAAGCAAGGAAAGGAGAAAGGAAGGAAATAAGAAAAAGGGAAGGAATTAGGTGGCCATGGACGAACCACCATTGGTTCATCCATAATAGTTTCAACATGAGAGAGAAAGAAGAAGAAAAGGGGAAAAGGAAAGAGAAAAGAAGAAAAGGAGGAGGAGAAATAGGGACGAACCACCACCGGTTCGTCCCATGGAAGCTGGGTAGAGAGAAAGGAGGAAGAAGAAGAAGAAAGAGAAACGGGAAAGAGAGAGGAGGAAAGGGGGAAAAAAGAGTTTTTGATCTAAGTTATTTTGAAATGGAGATTGGGTTTTGTTTTTGTTTTGTTTTTTTTAAGTGGTGTGGATTGGGCTTGGCCCAACCCACGGGTTAGTGGGCTGGACTAAAGTTCTAGCCCGGTCCGAAAATTAAAAAAAAAAAAAAGAAAAATTTTGGGTCGGATTGAACCAAACAACATAAAATAAAATAAAAAAGAAAAAAATATGTGCTTTTCATTTATGCATTTTTGTAATTAATTCATTTAAGTATTGAATCTTCTTTAATTATTTTAGTTAATGTAATTTTAATTTTAAGTTTATTTATGCATGTTAGTTAGTTTATATTAATTTAGAATTTATTATTTTAATATTTTATAATTTTTTTAATTTACCCTTGAATTTATTTTATGCATGCTCGTTATTAATTTAAATTTCGGTATTTGAATTTTCTTCTTTTATTTAATACATGTAGCTTTAATTTATTTGTTTAGTAATTAGGCTCGGTAAGTAATAGGTAGAAGATTGTCAAGTCTGCTAATTCTTTAGGGATCGATGACAATCTTTCACTAAAGAAAAAGAAAAAAATAAAATAAAGAAAGAAAAATGAAAAAAAAACTTTTAACAAAGTCTCCTATCCGATAGGGACTATTGTTAGCAAAAAAATTCATTTTAATAAACAAGTATTCTCTAAAACACCGGTTGTGTCGAGACTCGAAAAAGTGGATCCGATGTTTAAACCGACATGTCTCCCGACGGAAGGAGCCCGACGATCATTTCAATACAATGCCACACTCAAAAATAAAAAACTTAATTTGGCTTAAAATAAAGGACTTGAAAAATTAGAGTTTTAAATTGAAAAATAATTTGGCAAAAATAAAACACCGTAGGAGATGATTTTAGGACTAGACTTGACATGATACCTTTCTCGGGAAAGGGTGCTTTTGGGTGATCAAATATCTTCTCATGAGCGTAACTAACTCCTTACCATAGAATCTCCGAACCAAGTGCTAATTTTAAGTTCCTAGTTCCTTCAATACTTAGATGGCGATTTCAAACTCTGTAAATAATTTAGCAAATAAAAATAAAATCTTAAACTAGAGATTTTTTTTTTTTGAAGTCTCGTCCGATGTCGGGTAGCGACAACCAGTGTGGGGGTGTGATTTTGCTTTCTTCGATATTCCTTCTTTGGATTTCTAGGCAGCCGTTGAAGGTGCTCTTGAATTTCTAGGTTTGTGTTCATCCTTGCTGCCACTGCTGGGATTAATTCCTGGACTGTGGATGCGTTTCAAGCATCTCACACCAGTTAAGAACCTTTCTGTCACTTAGAAATCATCCCAGAACTTCTTCTTTTTGTCCTCAATTCAGCTGACGAACCAATAACCAATATTTTCATAGACTTCCAGTCAGTTTTCTTTCCTTTTCATTTTTTCCAGTTTCAATTTCTTTTATTGCTGCCATTTAAGTTTCTTTTGTTGTTTAAGATTTTATATTTGAGTGCATGTTATAAGATGAGGAAATGGAAGATAAATTAGTCAATCATCTTTAGTTCCAAAAGGAAATTTTGATTTCGAAAAAAAGGGAGGAAGAACAGGAGAGAGAGGCAACAAGAACATGAGAGAGAGAGAGAGAGAGCTTCAGAATTTAATAGGAAGGCGTTTGATCGAAAACATAAGGAAAACTGATGTTGGATTGTGTTTATGGGTCTTAGCCCAGTCCCTAGTACGTCAAAAAAATAGAAAGGAATGTGAGTTGGGGCAAGCCCAACCCACCCTGAATAAGGGCTGGACTGATAGCCTAGGAACAGAAATGGAAAAAGAGCAAAGGTTAGTTCAGTCTAGCCTCTGCCTTTCTCCCTTACCCCTCTTTCCTTTTAAAAAAGAAAAAACGTACAAAAGAGGTTGGACTAGAATTAGTCCAGCCTGTCCAAAAAATTTGATTAACAAAAAATGATAAAAAAAATGGAAGTAGGAAAAAAAACATAACAAAGAGTAGGAATAAGGAAGAAGAAAAATAATAAAAAGAAAACAAAACAAAAAAAAATTGTTTGAATATATCTGAAATTTTAGATTTTTATAAATGTTTAGCGTTTTGTATTTAATTTAGAAATTTAATTATATGTAATTATTTTAATTAATGTAATTGCCTTTTGTAATTTGTTTTATGTAATTTAGATTTGTTTGTAATTGTTTTAATTCATGTAATTTCAATTCTCAACGAAGTCTCTTTCTAATAGAGACTATTGTTTCGTGACGAGATTTCCTATTTAGTAGGAACCGTCATTATAAAAAAGTAATAAATTTTCTAATGAGGCCTCCTTCTAATAGGGATTGTCGTTTCATGACGAGATCTCCTATTTGATAGGGACCGTCGTTATCAAAATCATCGGTTAATAAATCAGAATGTCCTCCGACATACCGGTTGTATCAAGGCTTAAAGTGGATCCGATGTTTGAACCGACGTGTCGCTCGACAGTGGGGACCGACAATCATTTCAATACGATATCACACCCAACAACTAACTTTTTTTTTCAATTTGGCTTTAAAATTTGGAGTTAAAAAAATTAAAAAAATAATTTGACATAAATAAAATATTTTAGGAAATGAATTTAGAACCAAACTAGACGTGGTACCTTTCCTAGGAAAAGGCCTCTTTGAATGATTGATATCTTCTCAAAGCATAACCAACTCCTTACTATAGAATCTATGAACTAATGCTACTTTTAGATTATTAGTTTCTTAATACTATGTGGTGACTCCGAATTTGTAAATAAACTCGTAAATAGGAATCTTAATTTTTTTTAAGAGTCCCGTCCGATATCGACAGTGACAAAACTTATGAAAAAATTAAGTTATTTTTTAAAAATTGAATTAAATTTTCTTTTTAAATTATTACAAATTTTTATTTAAAAAATCAATGCATAAAGAAAAAAAAATACATTTTTTAAGTAAAAAATTAATAAAAAACATAAAAAAATAATTAATTAAATACAAATCTTCGATTAAAAATTTATAAAAATTGAATTAATTTATTTATTTTTATTTTTAATTTAATATATTTTAATAAACCCACAACATTATATGGACTATCACCGCTATAGATTTTTTAAATAATTTCACCAATTCTACCCGACCAACAAATTAGTTCTCCTTTGGACCTAAAACGTCCAACCACACCAAGGACGGACCACATGAATAAGCTCATAACACTGAACTATCTTTCACTATATAGTTTTCCTTTCCCCTTTTTTGTTTTTTTGGGGTGGTAGGATTAAGTTAGTCTAAACTCTAATTTATCAAAGTGAATACGAATAAGTAGCTTAACCAACATTGCAACAAAATCTTCACTGTTAAAAATACAATGGCAGTTCAAAAGAATCAAATATTTGACAAAATTATTTACAAAATTAGCTGTATTAAATACCTTAGTCGGAAAATTTAGATGATGGTTTATGTTCGACCCTGGCATGCTATTGTCTTCAAACTACCAATGCAAGCTCTGATGCTTCCAAAGAAGAAGCTATGTGCATAAGGAGCAAGTAGACCTCAAATCTAAAATCATAAATTGCAATAGTTGAAGCCAGCAAACAAATGGCAGTATCAATTAATCATCATGTCCTTGCGACTGTTGAATTGCATGTCCCTCCAATCAATGTGCCAACCTTTTCTCCCTTTATTGCTTTTGCAATATTACCCGGTTTGGATAGATTGAAGACAACAACTGTCATGAAGAAGCTTGGTGCAATAAGTTCCTTTTTTATGCTTTATGATAAATAAAGCAATGTTATTTACCAATCCATTTTTTTCAAAAAAAAGAAAGAAAGAAAGAAAGGACTAGCATGAGGTAAACAAAATTAGGAACCACTATGTAGTGTAATGGTAACAATTTTGCTTGCCGAGAACCAAGTGAGTCAGTGCACCTGTCATAAAGCAGCCACTTAACTCATTTCATCCATAAATGTTAAATGTTAAAATTCAACACAGATCACCATCCCCAGATCACAAACAAAAGGTAACATGTCAATCAGTTAATCCTGAGGTGTTGAATAAGCAGTAAAATGCCTTCGATCAAGCGTCTCATAAATGGTTAGAGAAAAACCCCCATAAAATGCAGGCTAAGTAGTCAGATGAATCCCTTTTCAGAGGCCATCCCAATAATTGCACAACACATGTAGGAAGGAGAGTTTACTTGTGAATACAAAGTAGTCAGATGCCTAATATGTCTTGGACATAAAAAAAATAAAAAGATCAACCTACAGGCTACCATCTGGATGCAGATTATGTAGACATACCTGGAATATTATTTTCTTGGCACAAAGTAATGGCAGTCATGTCCATCACTGAAAGATCTTTTGAGGTCACCTCATGGTAAGTTAGATTTTCAAGAAGACAGGCATTTGGATTATGCCTGGGATTGTCATCATAAACTCCATCAACATTTGTAGCTTTCAATACAACCTGTGCATTAACTGGAAGAACAATTGAAAATATCAGGGCAGTGAAATCATTTCTGTGCTAAGATCCACAATGATTATTGTTTTCTCAATTGGAGTATATATTGGAAAAGAAAAAATTTTGAATACTGTGGTCAACCAATATTTCAGAAATTTTAGAATGACATGAAAAGAATTAGCAAGTTCAGCAGGGCTTGCATATTAATGTTAAGAATGCAAATGCGCACAAGTTTGTCAAAAAATTTAACTTACTTTCTGCACAACGTAGGGCTGCAGCAGTATCTGTGGTGAAAAAAGGATTCCCAGTTCCAGCTGCGAAAATTACAACCCTTCCTTTTTCCAAATGTCTTACGGCCCTTCTACGAATATATGGTTCTGCGACCTCTGACATGCGAAATGCAGTCTGAACCCTTGTTGGGATGCCAATACTCTCCATTGTTGCTTGAAGAAAAATAGCATTCATGACAGTTGCGAGCATCCTATCAAATCGAAAAAAGCAGAAGAAAGCAAATCATGCATCAGGGAAATAAAGCTCCAAGGGAACCTTTTAGATTTCAGATAAATAACCACTCACTATCTACTGACTAAAATATCCCCATAGATACAAGCTCCAAGATATGGGTATTAATCATCTTAGTATAACAAGCTTCTGTACATTTAATCACTAAAAAAGGAATTGAAGAAAGCATAAAAATGATACGCAGTGTGTGGAACAAAAAAACAGCAATGAAATTTTGGGCACGCTACCCTTTTGCTTATGAGCTATGCTCAAGGATGTATGTCTATAAGTTCATAAAAATCAAGCCCCCTGTTGAAAATAAATGATCTGACCCAGAAGCTTTTTGCTCATACATAATGCTAGCTTATTATACCGTTTCACACCTTTTTTTTTTTTTTTTTCAGAAAAGGGAACACAAACCATCCTTGGGTAAATGAATTCATTTCCAAATGAGTTGCAGAAGTGCAAACCTTGGTCTTTCTTGGCAGCAAGAGCACACTCGTGAAGGACTTTCAGTGCGTAGCAAAAACATGAAATAAATTTATCCACAGGTCTGACCTTAGAGGATATACATTAAATAAAGTTATTCTACAATTTGTGCTGCCAAGACATCTTTGACATGAAGGAAAGAAAACCTGAAAATCCCCAAATTAAATACCTTAATGAACAGCCTATACAGATAACAAAATCAATTCAGAGTACTACATAATGTTGATCCATTTGGATCCTAAAAGATGAATCTATTTGAAATCACTAAACTTTTATAACTGAAATCCCAATTTCTAACTCCTTCAAACATAATGAACCAAAATTTGTTGAAAGCCCCTTCACCTGATTTTATGGTTGAGAACTAGAATAAACTAATGAGATCTACTTAAAACTGCATGCCTATCCCTGGCAATAGTCAAATGGCTGACAACCATGGCTAACAGTCATGTGTGATTGCCATCCATTAATTGTATCAGAAGTTAGCAGAAGATTCCAACAGGTTAACACAGAGAATACGAAGTTGAGATTGTTATAACTGGAAATCCAAGGACCAAGCAGAAGTAAAAATCAACGAAGTACAAAAAAATCTAGTTAGGCCTGCTTTCTTTTGATAGCAAATCAAAGATTGAGATCATTATAACTTCTAAGCATACTTTCTGTAAAAGGAGGGATGCAGGTTCTTGGTGTAGAGAGAGAGAGAGAGAGAGAGAGAGAGAGGCAGTGTTGCATACAAGTAACCAAGCAGTGAGGTAGAGATAGAGAGAATGGATGGAGGAGGACCAGGCAATACGTAAGGAACCCAAGCTCTTGGCAGTTGAGGAAGTTTGGAGGCATTTGGAAGTATGGAAATATGAAAGCATGGAAGTGTGAAGGATTTGGAAGTTTGTAAGGTTTAGAAGATAGAATTTGGGAGAGAGTATGAGAGAAAGCTATGTAAGAACTTATCCTTTTAATCATGAAAATAAGCTCCTAGTTACAGTAGAAATTGGTAGAGCATTGATAACGAAATTTTAAGGTGAACCCACGATAAGATGACCATTGGTTAGTCTTTAATAAAGGGGATTACAAGGATCATATGTCATGGATAACAAATGGGTGAGTTTCGGCTTTCTTATGCAAGATTAGCAATGGACTAACGAGCCCTGGTCCAAGGCCATGAAACCAATGCGGCCTAAAACATCCCAAAGTTCCTAGGCCCAATCCAAGATTCTGCCACAAATCTATTAATTGGGTCTATTATTTGCCTGAAATAGATATGTGTTAGATGTTCAATATTTAAAATACTCATGTCTCTACACTTTCAAAACAGAAAGTTCCATCTTTTAGATTGAAATCATTATAGAATGAGCAACCACTGGTGTTAACAAGCTTCCATGTGAAATAGATAGGCACTAAATCAATTCAGGAGAGTACCCAATGTAATCAGCAGATGACCGGTCAAGACCACTGCTTCCTGCCCATGAAGATCCACGGAATATATTTCCCCCGCCAACTACAATTGCAACCTACAGCATTGACCGCAAATCATTAGATAACACAATTGGAGGCCAATAACAAAGCATCCATCTTAAGTTCACAATATCTGTCCTGTAACGGCCCAAATTAATAGTTAAATTCATTCTTGTCAGACTTACTTAATGCACAAGATGGAACATGCCTTCCACCCTGCATATTTTCCAAATCACACAGACCCTTTCCATCTAACCCCAAAGCAGATTACATGTTACATGCTATGCAAAAAGAAAGAACCAGATATGAACTACAGCAAAATTTCCCAACAAAATGATCACTTAGCTTATGATTTGCACAAAAATCATCACACATGCCTTAAATGCTGCAATGAGAATCACTGAACTTTACTTTAAGAACATAAAAACGAAAAAGAACATCAAACACAACCATTAACTGCAATAAATTAAAGGAAAAAATGAATTAAAAAAGTATGGGAAAAAAACTATACAAAGGTGTTGAGGGTTAACCTCAATGCCAAGGCGCGTCACAGCTGCAACCTCCCTTGCAATCGCCATTGTAACCTGAATCATTACAACAAACTCATCTATCGGTGACCATCAACAAATGAAGCCAGTAGAAACTTAAAGAATAACATAATCATTCACATTACAAAACCTTTGGGTCAATATTCTGCATTTGGTCTCCTGCAAGTGCTTCTCCACTTACTTTAAGCAAAACCCTTCGCCATTTATAAGATTTCTCATTCATTGTCACCCCATAGGGAGCCACCGATGACATTTGAGGCTGCCTGGTAACGAAAAAAATATTTTGAAAAACACGAGAAGAATTCAAAAAGTCTACAAAATGCCCAAATCCGATTATTGCTGCAATGACTTCAAGTCAATGCTTACTTCACTTTCTTTGTTACGGAAAAGCAAGTAAAGTGCTTCCATTTGCGTAATTCAATTACAGAAAATAAATTAAATTTAACAAAAGTATGGTTACTTGAAGTCATGGAAGTAGAAACCCTTCACACAATCATTTTAACAAACACCCAGAAGACATGAACACAAGGGCAAACTAAAACAACAGCAATCCATGAAATCAAAATATAAACAAAACCCATGTTAAGTTGTTACCTTAAATTCATGGGGTCTGAGGTTGAACCCATTTCAGAAGAGCAATGAATCACTAACCTTCCGCTTTGCTTACCCTTCATCAAGCGGCAGTGATTAAGCCTCAACGGACTCAAATATGATAATGAAGAAGAACTGATAAGATTCAGAGAGATAATCGGTGCAAAAGAAGTAGTAAAGGTTGCCATAAAAAACAGTAACAGAAACTTCAAAATTAGTAGCAAATCTTTCTGTTCCCCGTTTATGGGACTCTTGTGAGTTTCTCTCTCTCTACCAACAGGATAATTTACTTTGGGTTTTTTTTTTCTTTTTTGGGTTTTCTATTATTATTATTATTATTTATTGGAAGAGATAATGACATTTTGGAGAAAAAAATGTGCGGAAAATGATAGCTAGAAAACAACACCACAAAATATCCATATTTGTATCTTTTTGCTGATTTTCTTTTTCTTTTTCCTTGTAGAATATTTTTAAGGGATAAGTAAAAATCAGTCCTCAATCTATATACTCATTCAAAGATTAGTCTCTAATGTTCAAACTCTTGCCAATTCTTCCCTATAATATTTTTTGGTCTAACAAGTTAATCACCGTCAGTTTCCTTACCGTTGAATTTATAATAATGAAAAGTATGTGCTATTGAAATTTTTGTTTTTCTAATTCATAAAATAAATTGCGTTACTTGATAAATTTCTATTTTGATTTTTTCCATATAATTATATGCATTTGTTGCATATCTTAATTGATTGAATTCATGTAAGTGTATGCATAAATTTATTTTTTAATAAAATAAAACTTACGAAAAAGGTTTAAATTGATAGTTAAAAGGAAGTTGTCATGTTCTCTTTATAAATTATACAACAGCCAACAAAATGATATTTTATTAATAAAATAAAAATTTCAATTTCAATTAAAAATAGTTTTTTTTAAGGGCTTATTTTAATTGGTGAGTGATTATGTTTTTTGTGTTATCATCTATAATTTGAATTATAAAAGAGATCATAAGAATGAAATTTCTTTAATTTCTTATGAATGCATCAATTTAGATATAAACGACCTATTTAAAATTTCATCTCAAAATAATTTACTCTCAAACTAAATATATCCTTTTTTTACACTAAAACTGAAAACAATAATAATAAACAAATTGGGTGCTTGCTTTATTTTTGTTTCTTATCTCCGTGATTTTCTAATGGGTTTATGATAGGGTATCTAAACTTATTACTAGTTCTGGACGAGGTTCTAAACAAATCATTTTCACCAAGTTAAAAGTTATCGGAATATCTTTATTCTTTATTTAGTTTTGCTCATGTTCCTCTACTCTTTTCGTCTTAATTTCATTTTTTAATTTTTAGTTTATGTTTTAATCATGTTCTTTCGCTAACATTTTAAACTAACGGCGGTAAATCGCATTGTTAGCATCATAGAATTACAACATGTGCCAACTTTTTTTAATTGAATTTTAATAAATGAATTTAAATAAATAAATATATATATATATATATATATATTTGAATCGAATCTTAAGCACGTCATCCACATCCGAATTGATGCATTCATTTTAACAAGTAAGGGAATAGGTTAATGGTTGAGGGATGAAATTAAAATAAATAAATAAATAAATAGACATGATTAAGATTAAATAAAAAATAGAAGAATCCCTATGACCATTAATCTATTCCATAACTTGTTAAAATGAAATAAAGCTTCGAATCCGATTCAAATGCTATGATGCAATTTCCTCAAGAAAGTAAGGCTAAGCAAGAAAAAAAGTGTTTAGGTCATGAAAAGTTTGCATAAAAGCTGGCATTTAAGGCACTTTAAGGTAATTGGTCCATGATAAGTTCATTTTGGGTAAATGAAAAAAAAAAGTTTGAGCAGAAAATATTTTGAAAAAAAGAAAAAAAATTGGTTTTAAAGGATAATTTTACCTTAGAATATTTTGATTCTGTTTATTTTACCTCCTAGTTTTTTGATGAAGACTCATGATTTGATGTCTTAAAGAATTACGAACAAGACACCAATTGGTCATGTTTTTTTTTTTTTCAATCATTCTCCTTTTTCTTTTGAGATTAGTATCCAACAACTTAAGTGAACTCGCTTTTGATCGTAAAGGGTTTGTACAAGCACGTAATATAGGTTATGGTTTGAGCTTATGAAAGAAGGATATAAAGGCTCAAAAAATGTTTGAGGGTTTTCTAACATAGGATCACTTTGTTGTCCGTGAAAATCTCTTTAGATCATGTCTCTTAGACTCTATTACTTTAGCAATTAGTTGGACCGTTATGAGAAAAACCTTATTTTTAGGCTTGTCGATGTAGCTTTGTCATTTAGATTATTGACTTTGTTTCGTAGCCTTCACTCTTGTTGTCGGTTTGTCCGATTTTAACTCCCATTTTGACTTATAATTTTTGTATTAGGGAAGTTTTTTTTTCTTTTTTTATCTTCCCTCCTTTTTTTTTTTTTTTACTCATAGTATAATTGATGACATTCTTTTGATAAATTTTTTTTTTGAGAGCTTCATTGACCATTCATGGACTATACATTTTCCCCTAGTGTGAGGGGTGATCCTAGTCTAGGTTATCATGAAGAAAATCATTAGGCTCAAAGTGGGATGATAAAGGATAAGACTTTTGTGAGATATATGAAATATGGCATTTCCTCATCTCAAAGATCGATTCGCCTATACCGTTAAATATTAATCTCTTTTAAACAATGATGATTAATTTAAAGAAGAAATGAATGAATGTTATTTGAGATCATATATTGTTTATCATTATTTAAGGCATCAATCATTGCGTCTTTCCTTTGGGCTTCATGATGTTTTCTTAGGCAAAACTTTTCCATCGGATGTTCAATTTGGGAAAAGATAAAGAATTTCTTCCTTTTTTTTATTTCAACAAAATGGAGGATTATCCAATTACTTTTTGCTCGTAAAGGTTTTTAGTAAGATGTATCATTAGCTTTCATGAATTGAAGAATTGCCTCTATCATACATTTGCCATGCTTTGAAATTTGATCAAAATTTTTTTGCGAAAATTTTTGAATGGATTTGCCATTATATTTCTTTAGTGGAGGAAAATGCAATGCCGGATAATACTTTCAAATGAACATCTCTTGATTTCGAATAAAATAATATGAATTATAACAAAAAGTAGACTTTCATTCAAATATACAACTCAATTCATGCATAGCTAAAATATTCATGAAAATAGTATTTAAAAAAAAAACTTGTAAATTGTAAACATGCGTCTTCTCCATAACTTTCGGACTCACTTAGTCTCCTCATTTCTAGTATTCACAACCATGTGGTTCGGTAAGGGGTTCATGTTCACATTAGGAGAATGTAGATCATTGTTGAAATTGATCCAAATTTGCTTAATCAAATCCAATAACTTCCTCTTGAAGGCGGGACAATAATTGATGTTATGCCCAAGCAGACAAGAATGATATTCATATCTTTCATCTTCCTTATACCATGGGGGTAAGGAGGGTGCATTGGGTTAGTAGGGACTTGGAATGACTTAGCCAATATTTATCGGGTGTTTAAAATTTCACCCAATGAGTGAGGTAAGGGTAGTAGTTATCCGAGCTCTTTCTTATGATCTTGATTATGAATTAGTGGATTTTGGAAATACGGAGTAGCTTGAGAGAATTGATTTGTTTGATAGGTTTGGTGAGGTTTGTAGGATGGATGTGGTTGATTTGGTAAGTATGTTTGGTTCATGGTGTTTGTTAGGCTAGGGGCATAGTCGGTGAATGAAGGTCTTTGGGGGTTGCTTTTATAATTTTTATATTTTTCTCTATTACTCCCTTGATTCTTGAATTGATAAGATCCAATCTCGACTCGATATATCTTACCGACTATCCTTTTATTACCATTGCTTCCTTTCCTTTCGGAACCCTCAAGAATCTTTTCAGCTTTAATTGCTTGCTCCACCCTCTTAACTATGATAATAGTATTGGTAAAGTTAGTTAAAACATTACCAATCAAATACTCAAAGGAGGATGCTTTGAAAGTATTCGAAAATATTAAGATCAACTCATATTCGGGCAATGGTGAATGGATTCGAGCCACTACCTCTCGCCATCTTTGAGCATATTCCTTAATGGTCTCTTTAGCCCTTTTCTCCATACCTTAGAGATCCGAATGGTTCGGAGCCACCTCTATGTTAAAACCGTATTGTCCGAGAAAAGCATCGGCTAGATCTTTTCATCTTCTAATCTTGGACCCTTCCAATCTCATATACCAACTCGGTGTTGATCCATCCGGACTCTCATGGAAGAAGTGTATGAGTATTTTTTATCATGAACCACTTATGTCATCATGCTATAGTAAACCCTCAAATGGGTCATGGGACACCGAGTTCCGAGTGTACTTAGAGAAATTCGAGACCTTGAACTTTTTAGAATTACCACGTCGGGCACCAAATACATTTTAAAGGCCCTAATTAGATCGTAAATGTCCTCTCCCTCTATTGCTCTTATATGTTCTTCTAATGCCATGAGCTTATCTATACTTGGACCTTTAACTTCTCCATAACCATGAGTTACTTCTTCCGTAGGATCTATAATGGGCATAGGTGGCATTGGCGGGACTCGAGGGTCCATTGGATAGGCGAATGCCCTAGCTGAATATGAGGCTTTAGCATGGAAATCCGTATGATGGGTCGCTGTGGCATAGTGGATTGCTTGGGCAATGGAATATCATGTGGCATTTCGAGTTGTTCTCGTCCTAAATTCAAACCACCTCCCTTACTTATCGCCTATAGTAAAGCCTTCATTTGGGCCATGTCTTCTTTCAACGACTCAAAATCTTGCTAACGAACTTCTTTTTGTCGTGTTCTTTTCTCGTTCTCCATTTAGCGAGTCCTTAATCCGGTGTTGTGGACACGTGGGGGAATTGAGCTTCAATGGAGCGGCCTATGTTTCAAAATCATGAAAAACTCAAAGAATATATGTATAATGAATATACAATATATACATGTATGATTTGAACTGGATTAGATGTCTTTCTTCATTTAAAATCCCGCAAGAGTCGAGGGTTAGAACAAATATCATTTGAAAATGATTCGTGTTTTAATCG